CGGCTGGCTTGGAGAGCACCAAAGTCCCACTGAAGCAAGTCCTGCTCCTCAGCTTTAGTTGAAGCTGGTCCTCACAGTTGATTGGTCTGGGGATCAATCCCTTCCAGTGATGCCAACAGCAATCAACTACAATAGGACACACTACACATAGCCCACACAGGAACACACCTGGAGTGCCCAGCTTGGGTAACTGAGGAGGCTGCGTCAACTGGGCCACACAGGACACCTACTACACAAGGCCACTCTACCAAGTCCAGGAGATACAACAGCTCTACCTAATGTACAGAAACAAACACAGGGAAGCAGCCAAAGTGTAGAGACAAAGAAACATGTCCCAAGTGAAAGAACAGGAGAAATCTCCAGAAAAAGAACTAAATGAAATGGAGGCAAGCAAACTACCAGATAGAGTTCAAAACAATAGTTATAAAGATGTTCAAGGAATTTAGTGAGAACTTCAACAGCACAAAAAAGGACAAAGAAACCATTAAAAAGAACCAGTCAGAAATGAAGGATACACTAACTGAAAGGAAGGATAATTTACAGGGAATCAACATAAGAGTAGATAAAGCCAAGAATCAAATCAGCAATTTGGAATATAAGGAAGCAAAAACAAACAAACAAACAAACACCCAATCAGAGTAGCAAGAAGAAAAAAAAGAATTCAAAGAAGATAGTGTAAGGAGCCTCTGGGACAACTTCAAGCATATCACGGGGGTGCTGGAAGAAGAGAGAGAGCAAGAAATTGAAAACCTATTTGAAAAGATAATGAGAGAAAACTTCCCCAACCTGGTGAAGGAAATAAACATATAAGTCCAGGAAGCACAGAGAGTCCCAGACGACATAAACCCAAATCGGCTCACACCAAGACACATTATAATCAAAATGTAAAAGGTTAAAGACAAAGATAGAATCTTAAAAGCAGCAAGAGAAAAGCAGTTAGTTACCTACAAGGGAGTGCCCATAAGACAATCAGCTGATTTCTCAACAGAAACTTTGCAGGCTGGAAGGGATTGGCAAGAAATAGTCAAAGTAATGAAAAACAAGGACCTACAACCAAGATTACTCTATCCAGCAAAGCTATCATTTAGAATCTAAGAACATATAAAGAGTTTCCCAGACAGGAAAAAGCTAAAGGAGTTCATCACCACCAAGCCAGTATTACAAGAAATGTTAAAGGGTCTTCTGTAAGGAGAAAAAAAGGTAAAAAAACCCAACAAAATGGAAATAAATACATATCTATCAACAAATGAATCTTAAAATCACAAAATAAACAAAGAAGCAGAACAGAAACAAACTCATAGATACAGAGAACATTTTGATGGCTACCAAATGGGAGGAGGAGTAGGGGGAATGGATGAAAAAGGTGAAGGGATTAAGAATTATAAATTGGTTGTTATGAAATAGTCATAGGGATGCAACGTACATCATAGGGAATATAATTAGTAATATTCTAATAACTATATTTGGTGTCAGATGAGTATGCGATTTATCAGGATGATCACTTAGTTATATAACGTCTAATCACTGGGGTGTATACCTGGAACTAATATAAAGTTGTATGTCAACTGTAATGGAAAATTTTTTTTGATGATTTAAAAAATAAAATATTCAAAACCAAAAAAATAAAAATAAAAAATAAAGAAGAATGAACACCAATTCTACACAATCTTCTAGAAACAAAAAAAAGGGGAAATACTTTCCAATCTATTTTATGGAGCTAGTATCACCCTGGTACCACTAAAATCCAACAAAGACAAAATGCAAAAACAAAAAACAAAGCTGCAGGCCAATTTCCCTCATAAATATAGATGCAAGAATCCTAAACAAAATATTAGGAAATATAATATGATCAGAAGTATGTAAAAAAGAATTATACACCATGACAAAGTAGGATTTGGTCTAGGGATGAAAGGCTGGGTCAATATTTGAAAATCAATCAGTGTAATTAATATTAACAGGCTAAAGAAGAAAAATCACATGATTATACTATCCTCATCTTTTAGACCTCTAAATGTTGAAATGTCCTAGGACTGGGTCACACTGGGCCCCTTTTCTTTCTACACCTATTCTCTTCCATGACTCCCACATTTACACCTCTATCCCAGATCTCTCCCTTGAACTCCAGACCCAGAAATCCAGTTGCCTACAAGACATCTCAACTTGAAAAGGCATTTTCAACTGGACATGCACAGATCTAAACTCCTGCTCTTACACCCCAAACCAGCTCTTTCCTCCATTTGGTAAATGAAAAATATATTCTTATGACTGCTTAGGCTAAAACCCTTGGGGCCATACAGACTCTTTTCTTTTACACCTCATATCTAATCTGTCAGCAAATTCTGTTATCTCTTCTAAAATACCCCCAGAATCTGACACTTTTCACCACCTCCACCCTGGTATGAGTTATCCTTTCACTTGGGTTATTACAACAACTGCCAAATTGGTCTCCCTGCTTCTACCCTTGTACCTTTACTGTCTATTTTCTACTTAACAACCACAATGCTCCTCTTTTACTCAAAACCATCCAACGGACTCTCATTTCACTCAGACTAATATCCAACATCCTTCATATTGCCTGATGTCCCCTAGCAATGTGGTCCCTGACTACTTTTCTGAGCTCATTTCCAGACTTTCGGTTCATATCACTTCAGCTTTACTGTCCTCCTTGCTGTTCCTTAAAAATGTCCAAAGTGGTCTAACCTCAGGACTTTGTATTTGGTTTTCCCTCTGTCTGGAATAACATTCTACCACAGAGCATATGACTTGTTCTCTCATTTTTTCAGGTCTCTGATCAAATGTCACTGTATCAGTGAAGCCTTCTCTGACCAGCATATGTAACAGCCTCCTATCCACCCAAACATGCATTCCTCTGATCAAATATCACTGTATCAGTGAGGCCTTCTCTGACCAGCATATGTAACAGCCTCCTATCCACCCACACATGCATTCCTTATTCCCCTTACCCTCCTTAATTTTTATTTAAGGCACTCATCACTCTCTGACTCATTTTATACTAGCATGTTTGTATATCTACCTTCCCCTATCAGTTAAGCTTCCAAGGACATGGATTTTGTCTGCCTAGAATAGTGTTTCAGACATAGACACTCAAAATTACTTCCTGAATGAATGAACCACTGGCTCAGGAGTGAAGAGTTCGGGATCAGACATCAGATAACCTTGATTTGACTCCTGGCTTTGTCATTTCCTATGTCCAAGTGACATAGGACAGATTATTCACCCATGTTCTGGGTTTTCTTATTTATCCAATAGTGATAATTATCCCCACCCCATAGGACTGTTGTACTGATTAAATAAAAGAATGTATGTAATGTGCTTAATATGCTGGCCGGTTTGGTTCAGCAGTTAGAGTGTTGGCCTGCACACCCAAAGGTTGAAAGTTCGATTCCTGGTCAAGGGCATGTACCTGGGTTGCAGGTTCTATCCCAAACCCTGCCCAGGATCATGCGGGAGGCAGCTGATCAATGTGTCTCTCTCCCATCGATGTTTCTCTCTTTACACTCTTTCTCTCTCTCTCTCCCATCCTTCCACTCTATCTAAAAATCAATGGAAAAATATCCTTGGGTGAGAATTAACAAAAAATAAAAATAAATAAATTTTAAAAAATTAAAAACAAACAAACAAACCCAAAGTGGTTTGGTATAAAAGTGCTCAGTATATGACACTGTTACTTAATACACAAAGATGGATATACCAGATTTGGACTCAAAGATCCTAGGTTATAATTATAATTTGATGTTGATGGTGTGCTTTTAGGCCATTCATCTCTTTTATAGTCATTCACTTAATCAGCTATGAATTAGGTGCCAGAGTTAAAAAAAAAAAAAAAAAGACAGATAAGATGCAGTCCCTTCCCTCTAATTTAGTTATGTGGTCTTGGGTAGGTCACCTAATCTCTCTCAGCCTGTTTCCTCATTTGCCAAACCGGAATGATGTAATACCTACCTCACAGCTTTGTGCTAAGGATTAAATGATTTACTATGTGAAAACACTGTCTGGCTCATAGCAACTGCTCACTATACTGGCCATGATTATGATTCTAGTCTGGAGAAGCATCTAAGCAAATAACTACAATACAGCACGTTAAAAGCAAAAACAGGCATCAACTAGGCTATCTCCTAGTTGGAGTCCACCCACAACTGGTAAGTTTCATGATAATCAGAAAATTCTAAACTTCCATGTCTACAATAACCTAACCTCCTATCACCACCCCCATAGCAGATTGGATAACTGGAATTAAATTTTTTAAAAAAAATATGTTTTTATTGCTATCAGAGAGGAAAGAAGAGGGGGAGAGAGAAACGTGGATTGGCTGACTCCTGCACACCACCCCCTCCCGGGAATCGAACTGGCAACCTGGGCATGTGCTCTCACCAGCGACTGAACCGGTGATCTCTCAGTACACAGGTCTACGCTCAACCAAGTTGAGCCACGCGGGCCAGGGCTGAATTTTAAACTTTTTAAAACAGTAAAGGGGTTCAGAGTCTGAAACAGTGTTTCTTCTGCCTCCACCATCCCCCAAAGTTAATATTACTTAAATTTGAGGCACAGTAAAATGGACCCCCAGAGGGCAGCATGTACTTTCCCGAATAAAGCAACCAATTAAGAGCCAAGAGCAGAATAGCTTGTTTCATGGAGCTGTCAGACTAGATGTCAGAACTGGACATTAAAGGGGGGACCTGGAACCGAATGGGAGCCCACAGGTGAGAAGGAGGGGCGTCACCTTTGGGGAAAGAACAGCAAGAGCCAAGGTTCGGAGGCGTCAAAAGTGCATGTGGCTGGCTTGGCAGAGCAAAAAGCTTTTGGAGGAGGGCAGCCAGGGAGCGGTGTATATGGAGGCAGAGTGCGGCCTAGGTCCTGTCAGGTGAGAAAGGCCCTCCCATACCCAGGTCCTGACCTCTCGGCCTCAGAGTGCCCTCAGGATCCCCTCTAAGGTCTCCCAGCTGCTGATATCCCTGTTGCCCCCGCCACTCTTCCCTTACCTCGTCTTCCAGCCTTCCCTCACTCTCCCGCCTCCTCCGCCCCGCCGGAAGTGACGCGCTAACTAGCGCGCCGCAAAGCGCCAGAAAGGTTCTGGGGGAGCTGGGGAAAGGGTTCCGGTGAGACACACTGCGCCGGCGTGTGGGCGCGAGCGGTCAAAGCGCCTTCCGGAGGCCGCCAAAGTGCGTTCTTGTCCCCGTCTGTCGCTTTCGAAGTGCCCTGAACGAGGGTCATAGAGGCCGTCGCCGCCACTGGAGGGGCCTTTCTAGAGCTCTGAGACCTGGTGTCCAGCCACTCCGGCCCTTGCCCTTTGACCCTGCTCTCGCGGCCGGGTGAGAGGTCGGTGGCCATCTTGTGGCGGCGGCGCGGGCGGCTGTTACTGCGGAGACCCATCCCCCTCCCCCCTTGCCCGCCTGGCTGTCTGTCAGTCAGTAAAGAGTCCCGCAGGCGGTCCGGTGAGGCCCCGGCCTCGTGCCGTCGCTCTTCCCGCCGCACTGGGCGGCCCAGGCCGCTCCCTGCCGGGCCTCACCGCCACCACCATGTCCTCCTTCTCGGAATCGGCGCTGGAGAAGAAGCTCTCGGAGCTGAGCAACTCTCAGCAGAGCGTGCAGACCCTGTCCCTGTGGCTCATCCACCACCGCAAGCACGCGGGACCCATCGTCTCAGTGTGGCACCGCGAGCTCCGCAAAGGTAAACACCCTGTCCCCACCCCCTGGAGCCCTCCCCGGGTAGCCCTCTTCCCCCACCCACTGCTGAGGCTCCTCCGGCTTCATCACTGAGCCTTGCTTTCCAGGCCCGAGCCTCAGCTTGCGCTTTTGAGGTTGGAGACGGCGTTATCCCCATTTCTCGGAAAAGGGAATTGAGGTCCGGGAAGGTTTACGGTACTTGTCTGAGGATCCATCGCTCAGGGCCCCATTGCCAGACTCCCGGTTCAGCCAGCCGTTTTCCCATCGGGCTCCTCCTGACACTTGTAACTATTATTATCTGGGCAGCATTCAGCGCCTTGTGGAGGTTGCTGGCCTAGCCTGCTGTGTGCCAGGCGCTTTACTGGGCATTTGGAGTAAGAGCCTGCAGACTCTGGAGTGTGACTCTTGCTCGAGTCCTGGCTCAGCCACTTACTAGCTGAGCGATAATTGGGCAAGTTTTTTCATCTCAGTATGCCTCTGTTTTCTCATTTGTAAAATGAGGACTAGTATAGCTACCACTTATAGAACCCTGATTCTGTGCCAGTCACTCTGCGGAGACCGGTACCTGATAGATCCTCGCACTCAGTCCTCAGAACAGCCCAGTGAAGTGGATACAGTTACTCCCTGTATAGAGAGGTTAAGGGGCCACACCACCTAGGCTCCTCTTCTCATGCAACTTTCGTTGGTTCTAGACCCTGCTCAATCTAACAGACATCCCTTGAGCTCAGGCTACTATGCTGTAGGCACTAGGTTGGGTGCTTGAAAGCATGTTGGCTCCAGAGGCCAGCTATCTGGAACTGCAGCCTGACTTTGACATTTACTGACCCCAGCAACTTAACCTCTTTGCCCCCCTGTTTCCTTACCTATAAAATGGAGATGATGATATTTATCACGCCTTTATTATATGCCAGGCCCAGTACTGGTATCTTTACATACACTGTCATTTTTTAAATTCTCAGAGACCTATGAAGTAGAAACTTTGCAGATGAGGAAAATCTGAGGCTCAGACAGCTTACTGTTGTGCGGAGTAAAGAGAGTAATCCAAATGAACGTCAAGCATGGTGTCTGGCACAGTGTAGGAATTCAGTAAATAATGGTGAGATGGGATTACTGGGTGCTCAATGTGAGGCCTGGTCTTCGCATTCAAGTCGCGTACAGTCTGGTTGGGAAAGATGGTGACCTGCACAGCTATCTGATACCCTGATGGGTTCCATAGCAGAAAACTGAGTACTTGAAGCTTAGAGCTGTTTTGGACAGCCGGTAATGTGTGGTAGGCCCTTTATAGCATAGGAAGCAACTTTACTTGTGGTCTCTACTATCTGTGAGGTGGGGATTCTACTGGTTTACATATGAGGAAACTGATGCGGCTAAGTGGTATTTTTAAGGCCTTACAACTGGTAAGGTTCAGACTACATCAGGCTAGTAGACACCAAAATTCAGGATTCTTTCAGGAGACCCAGTTCTAGCCCTCTGGCTGAGACCCCCTCTAACCCCCCCTCAATATATTATGTACAATACTGAGATAGGGGCAGTTGGGGAATAGAACTTAGAGCTCCCAGAACCTTCTCCATGTACCCCACTGTGCCATTCAAATGTTCCCAACATCTGAGATGTAAAAAAAATGTGAATCGCCTCTATAGGATCCTGTCTGGTAGGATCTGAGATAGGTCAGTGTCTAACTCAAATGTCACTTCTTTTGTGAAGCCTTCTTGATTTTCTACCTCACCCTACTTGAGTTATTGAAAAATCAAAACAAAAACAATTTAGAGAGTGCATTCACTTATGAAGTTCCTATAACCCTAATCTCATATGATGAAAAGTTATGTTGTAAGTAGGCCAGCATTATTATCCCATTTTATAGAAGAGAAGATAAAGGTACAAAGAGATTAAGTGCTTTGCTCAGGGGCACACAGCTGGGACATGGGTCCAGAGCTCTTTGACACCAAAACTTGTACTTTCAAGTACCCAGTGCCTCAATGCACTTAATAAGTAAAGGTGATAGTAACCTTCCAACCAAACCTGTAGTGGTTTTGTTTATTAGAATTAATCACTGTCTCCCATCCCATACCAATTTAGCATTTACAGTTGGCCCTCTGTATACATAGGTTCTACATCCAACCATGGATTGAAAATATTCCAGAGAAAAAGTTAAGTTGTTGCCAACATGTACTATGTAGTTAGGCCTAGGATGGTGGCATCTGTACTGAACATGTACATACTATTTTTTTCTTGTTACTATTCCCTAAACAATATAGTATAACAACTATTTACATAGTGTTTACATTTTATTAAGTATTATAAGTAATTTAGAGATGATTGAAAATATACAGGAGGATTTGCTTAGGATATGCATATACTATATATCATTTTATGTAAGGGACTTGAGCATCTGTGGATGTTGGTATTCGTGTAGAGGTTGGGAGGGTGGGGAGGTCTTGGAACCCCATCCCCACCCCAGCTGTGGTAATGCCAGTGGACTACTGTATTTCATTATTACTAGTTATGTGTTTTCACTAGGTTGTGTTTTGAGGGAGAAACTAGGCCTCTTGTTTCTTTGTAACAGTATTAGCATGGTACCTGTTACACAATTTAAAAGTAGGTTAGGTTTTAAATTATAGTCTCTGACATTTTGAATAAATGACACTAATATAACTTTCTGTGATGATAGAAATGTTTTATATCTGCTGTCCAACAAGGTAGCCATTTGACACAGGTGGCTGTTGAGCACTTGAAATATGTGACTAAGGAATGAAAGTTTTAAATAAGTACAATAAAAAATTTAGTTCTTGAGTTTTGCTGGCCACAATTCATGTGTTCACTATGTGGCTAGTGGCTACCATATTGGACAGTGCAGAGCCAGAGGATGCTTTTCCAAGCATCAGGATTGGCTTCCTAATGTCCAGGCTTTCTTCATGATTGAAAGTGCCCCCACACTAAAGTGGAAAAGATATTTGTGCCCTAATGTTCAAATTGACCAGTCCCTTAGGTTCTAGCCCAGCCTGAGTCTTTATTTTATTTATTTATTTATTTATTTATTATCCTCACCCGAGGACACTTTTCCATTTTTTGTTCAGGTAGAGTGGGAGGGAGAGAGAGGAACAGAGAGAGAGAGAAACATCGATGCGAAAGGAACACATCGAGTGGCCGCCACCCGCACGACCGACCAGGGCCGGGGACAAACTGCAACCAAGGTACGTGCCCTTAGCGGGAACCGAACCCGGGTCTCTCCAGACTGCAGGCCGACGCTCTAACCGCTGAGCCAAACCGGCCAGGGCCAGCCTGAGTCTTTAAAAGTAGACCTTTCTTTCTTTTCTTTTCTTTTTTATCCTCACCCGAGGACATTTTTCCATTTTTTATTCAGATAGAGCGGGAGGGAGAGAGAGGAAGAGAGAAACATCGACGTGAAAGGGGTACATCGAGTGGCTACCACCCGCACTACCCAACCAGGGCCGGGGACAAACTGCAGCCAAGGTTTGCAGCCCTTAGCGGGAACGAACCCTGGTCTCTGGACTGCAGGCTGACGCTCTAACTGCTGAGCCAAACTGGCCAGAGCAAAAGTAGACCTTTCTATCTGAGATCTTTTTTCCTAAGATGTTCACAGACTGTCTCTGAGTTGCCTTCAAAAATATTTACCAGACTTACAAAAATTACTTTTTCTTGCTTAAATACTACTTCTATTGCTGATGTATTAGTCCATTTTCTAGGACTAATTCTCAATTTATCTCCTTGAACTCTGTTCTAGGAAGAACTCCCCTTCTTTATGGAGCAGTTTTGTGTTACATGCTCTTGGATGAATATTTTTTACTAATGTTTTTGTATCTTGGCCTGAATGAAAATAAATAAGCTTTTTTTCCAAACTTACTTTTCTAGATGTCAAAACCAGCCAAACAGTGAAAAATTATGGTCAGCTAAGTTATTTAAACTTTGCTCAATAACTATTTTAATCAATTTGGAATGGGCATAGATAGAGTGTGAAAAGATCTCTTTTTGTCATATTGGAAAGACATTTGAACAAGTGAGCTGTCACCTGGGGCTGGAGTAGAAGGTGTGTGTGTGTCATTTGCATTATGACTGTGTGTTCAAGTACTCTAGGGCTCTGTCATATCACTTTTACACACATGATGCTTATGTGGACTGTTCAGGATGCAGGATGTGAAGGGATAAAGTTTTATCCTAAATAAGTCTCCATTGCTAAATTTAAGGATGATGAAAATTAATTGGCATTGTAGATAGTGAAAATCTTGGCTCTTTGGCCTCTTAGCTATCATAATTGTAATACTGAAAGACATAGCAAGTCATTCTTGATTGTCCTGTGACATTTTATAATATGATTTCTGGGTTTTTTAACATAAGTATATGGAATTTGTAAAGCTTCACTTTATGAAGTCAGATTTGCTTCGCTGAAGTTTTACTTTTGAACCTGGTAACTTTCATGGCATTATAGACTTGGTAGTTTTACTTGCTGCAACATCCCAGAACAAGGTTTGCTTTTTTTTTTTTTTTTACAAAAAGCCTTTTGCCATAATCATACCTTTATAGCAACATAGCTCCAGGTTTTCAATGTTTCTCACCAGTTGGCCATCAAAATTAGGTTATTACCAGGTTATTACAGTCCACTATATCCATATTTAATTTTTTTGAGCACTTGAAGTCATCGGTTTAAACCATAATATGCTTTTAAAATCTTGTTTTTAACTTGGATTTTTCTTCTGTAGCTACATTTAAAAATGTCAGATCTTATGCCTGCTGTGTCAGAATTTATATATGCTGTGTGCATTTCAAAAGGAACAAGTAGTTTCTGAGAGAAATGGAGTAAGGACTAGGTGGGTGTAAAGGTTGACATAGGGCTTGCTTGAGTTTTTTAGGTACTTTGACATTGGAGAAAATAATGTTTTGAACCATCTGATTGTGTTCTTATTTATTTCTTTTAAAAGAAAACTGGGAGCCCTGGCCAGTTTGGCTCAGCGGTTAGAGCGTCGGGCTGCGGTCCGGAGAGACCCGGGTTTGGTTCCCGCTAAGGGCGCGTACTTCGGTTGCAAGTTTCTCCCCGGCCCTGGTTGGTCGTGCAGGTGGCAGCCACTCGATGTGTCTCTTCACGTCGATATTTCTCTCTCTCTCTCCCTTTCTCTCTCTCCGTCCCACTCTATCTGTACAAAAAATGGAAAAATATCCTCGGGTGAGGATAAAAAAAGAAAAGAAAACTGGGATCAAAAGTTGTAATGATGTAACTTTATAGTTGAGAAGTTATGTACATAGAAGTCAGGAAATTCAGTAATGTTTCCCTAAGCAACTGTAACTCAGGCATATTGCATGAGGTTTTTATGGTTTAATATATGATAGCATATAGAATAATAGGAAATACTACATTGAGTATGTATAAAAGAGAAGAATTATAGTTTTTGTTGGAGACATAATTTTACATAATCCAGATTTTAGACATGTAAATTTTTCATTAATAATGTAGCATCAGTGTATATTTGTATTTGAGATAAATACCCATTGGTGCATCTAGAGATTCCTCTGGATTGTGGAGTTGATGTAATTGACTGATGATGGTTATTAGAGTGTTCAAAGAGAAATTCTCTGGTCCGCAAGCCGACGCTCTAACCGCTGAGCCAAACCAGCCAGGGCTTCAAAGAGAAATTCTGTTAGCATAAATTACAGGAACCTAACTCAGTCTTGCATTATGCAGTGTTTGATTAAAGTGAGTTAGAAAAGTTCATTTTTACAATAGAATAAAGGAAAACCTTGGTTTTAACATGTCTTCTGGAGAACATTGACTGCTTATCTCTTAGGAATTTTCTTCAGATTATCTTCATTTTTACTGCTCATTAATTGCCCTGGTTAAAATAACACAGAAGTGAAGATGGCCCGTTCTCGTTTTGTTTTTTTACAAAAAATTGTATTCTCAAACCTCTTTTATTAGAGGTATCAAGGAGTTCTTTAGGTTGTTTTTCAAACATGTGGCATCCTTGACCTCAAATAGATAATGCTTGTCTTAATATTGGTTTAGAAGTAGCTTAGGGCAAAAGAATTGTGAATTGAGAATTTCCTTGGTGTAAATTAAATTATCCTTTCTTTTTTTCCAGCCAAATCAAATAGAAAGCTTACTTTTCTGTACTTAGCAAATGATGTCATCCAAAACAGTAAAAGGAAAGGACCTGAATTCACTAGAGAATTTGAATCTGTCCTTGTGGATGCTTTTTCTCATGTTGCCAGGTATGTTGTCTCTTTTTTTGTTTTGTTTTTAAATACATTGCCTTTCTTCCTTTTTGTTCTTTCATTTTCCAAGATAACTTTTGTAAATTGATAACTTGTACTTTACAGAAATGTACTTTATAGAGTGGTGCAAAGGCTAAATTATGGTTTTACGTTTTGCTCATTTTGATGCATTAAGGCAGTTCTCAACCTTCTAATGCCGCGACCCTTTAATATAGTTCCTCATGTTGTGGTGACCCCCAACCATAAAATTATTTTTGTTGCTACTTCATAACTATATTTTGCTACTATTATGTCTTAGGCGACCCCTGTGAAAGGGTCGTTCAACCCCCAAAGGGGTCACAACCCACAGGTTGAGAACCGCTGCATTAAGGGATTCAGTCTATCATTTGAAACACAGCCTTTTCCCTAGATGTAGTCCATTTATTTAATTCATTTCTTTAAAAAAAATTTTTTTTTCTTTATTGCTTTTAGAGAGAGAGGAAGGGAAAGGGAGAAAGAAATAGAGACATCAATGAGAGAGAACATTGATTGACCGCCTCCTGCCTGCCCCTCACTGGGGATTTGGCCCACAACCTGAGCATGTGCCCTTACCGGGAATCAAACCCGCAATCTTGGTGCATGGGGGGGTCAGTGCTCAACCACTGAGCCACACTGGCTAGGCTAAATTCATTTCTTGGATATGGTATATTTTTCTTGGTTGGCTGAATTATTTCATTAGCTTATAGTCAGAAAACAAAAAGCCAAATAGTACAAAGGAACCTTCCAGTAATAAAACCTTATTAGCAAGAAATTAGTTGCTTATGCCTGTATTTTTACTTCCTTCTGGATGTCTAGATGTCTGGTTTATTAGAAATAGTGGTCACTACTGTAACTGCAAAGATAATTACTAGTGTGGAAAGGAGCTATTTGCTCTGGCTATATCATACAAAGTCTCTGCCACGGTCATGTTCTGTAACAGAGGACTGGAGCATAGAGCTCACATATAACTAGTATCCCAGAAAACATCCATTGGATTCAATTTTTATGAATTATTCTTACTCATTTAAAAACAAATTGCTTTTCTGTAGACATGAGTTAGTTGCCTAGGAAGAGCAGAGAAAAACTATTTTTCACAAGAATATTACTTAATCCTATATATAAAAAAAAAAAAATCTTGCCCTGGCCGGTTTGGCTCAGCGGTTAGAGCGTCGGCCTGCGGTCCTGAGAGACCCGGGTTCGGTTCCCGCTAAGGGCACGTACTTCAGTTGCAGTTTGTCCCCGGCCCTGGTTGGTCGTGCGGGTGGCAGCCACTCGATGTGTCCCTTCACATCGATGTTTCTGTCTCTCTCTCCCTTCCTCTCTCTCCCTCCCACTCTATCTGAACAAAAAATGGAAAAATATCCTCGGGTGAGGATAAAAAAAAAAAAAAAAAATCTTTGCAAAAGGAAATTGGGAAGGGCACAAAGGAGACTAGTATGGTTCAATAAAAATTGTTCTAGTGTCTCAAGGGTCAATGAAAAGTCATAAATGTGAAAATAAGTCTGGTATTCCATGAAATATTTAAAACATTTAAAGGAATAAAATGAGAAGTCCAAAAGAAAGAAATGACATCCAGCTTTCTAGGGATGGAAAAAAGACTTTTGTTTGTCCACTGCATAGCTGGCTCGCTCTTTTGGTGAACATGGACACTGAAGAAAATGTGTTATGAACTTGAGTAAATACATCTCCTTATAACAGATAGTAAGCTTAGAACAAACTACTACAGTAGCTATTTGAAACTGGAAACAGACATTTTCTTATTTTAAGGAGATTTTGTTTTGTTTCTTAGACATTGGCTATAGCTCTGCCTCTAACACTGAGTGACTTTACATGTGATACTTAGCCTTTTGAGCCCAAGTTTCCTAATTAGAGTTGTGACTCAAAACAGTATGCTCACCCTGGCCAGGTAGTTCAGTTGGTCAGAGCCTTGCCCCCATATGCCAAGGTTGTGGATTCAGTCCCAGTCAGAGCACATATAAGAATCAACCAATGAATGCATAAATAAGTGAAATGACAAATTGATCCTTCCCTCTCTCTCTCTTTCTCTCCCCCCACTCTCTCCCTCCCTCTACCTCCCTTCCTGTCTCTCTAAAATCAATAGGGAGAAAAATGCCCTGGCTGGGTAGTTCATTTGGTTAGAAGTTCGTCCCAATACACCAAGGTTGCGGGTTCAATTCCCAGTTGGGGCCCATACAAGAAAAAATAGAACAGTGTGTTTGAAAGTACATAGTACAGGCCCTGGCCGGTTTGGCTTAGCGGTTGGAGCATTGGCCTGCGGACCAGAGAGTCTTGGGCTCAGTTCCCACTCGGGGCACGTACCAAAAAAAAAAAGTACATAGTACAGGACTGGACTAAGTTCTTTGTTCCTTTGCAGGAATAAAGTATACTAAATTATAAAATCTGTGAAGCAAAGGACCATTTCTTTTTTTTTATCCCAAGCACCTAGAGAAGTGTTCGGCACAGAGCTGCTGGGTTGTGTAGCTATAGGGAATGCCATTTATGTAGCCTTGCTGTGAATGGTGGTGTCCTAGAGCTGGGCAACATTGTGGTCTGTCCTGGCACAGAGAGGAATTCAGCAAATATTTGATAAATTAGTTAATTAATTTAGGGTATGGGAAATTGACTAAAATAGTTTTCTGTAGGGTTAATAAATATAGCATTTTTATTTAAAAATTGAACAGTAATCGTTAGCTACCCCAAATCCAGCAAAGGGTAAGTAGAAAAGGGTGGGAGGTGGGGGGGTGGACAGTACCAGGATTGAAAATCCCTTGCTACTTGCTAACATCTTAAGGCCTATCTAGGAGGAATTGTGGCATTATGGGGAAAATAAACTTACTTTTCAATTTAAAACAAAACAAACACAAAAACCTCTGATTTATTTATTTATTTTATTTATTATTATTTTCCTTTTTTGCATTTTTCTAGTTCTTTTACCCGCCTTTTTGGGTGTTCTATTTGGGATCCCCATGTTCCAAGCCCCTCCCCCTACCATTATTAGAAAGCTCCACTTCAATCCTGGTGTACTCTATCAACAGTTAGAAGTGCTCTCTGTATTTCCTACCTTCTCCCTCAACCATCCCCTTGCTCCAGAAATCCCCAAACCAAACTTTTTAAGTCAGAGAAAGCTGACAAGCTCATGGGGTAGATTTAATTCAAATAGAGATTTAATTAACCAGACTTAGAACTTTTTCCCCACAAATGCCTTCTTGTTTTCTTCTCAGTTTGGAGATGGTTGTGCACCTTATTTTTCATTCAGTGTGTATTTTGAGTGCCTTCTGTGTGCCAAGAACTGATCCAGACAACTGGGAGCAGCCATGAATAAGGCAGGCAAGGACAAACAAATGAACAAGATACTTTCAGAGAGTGATGATGTGGACATAATAGGATAGAATGGCATTCTAGAGTGGGGTCTTTCCTAGTGTGGTGAAGGAAGTCCTCTTTCAGGAAATGACATTTAAGGTAATCACATGAGGTAGGGACTTCAGGTAAAAATAATCTTGGCATGTTCAAAGGATCAGAATGTGGTTAGAACACAGTGAGCAAAGGGAAACGTGGCATCCAGGTGATATCAGAGAGGTAAGCAAGTGCCAGTAAGTGTTGGGAGAGAGGATTTTCTGATAGGTTGTCGCTGAGGGGTTTTAAACAGGGGAATGATATATTCCATCACATTGTTAAAAGATCCCTCTGGCTTGGTTTGGAGAATGGATTGTAAGGGCCAAGGGAGGGGCAGGAACATTAGTTTAAATGGAATTGCTCTAGTACAGTCTAGAAGTGACATCAGCTAGGACTCAGAAGCAGTGAGAAGATAATATTAGCTTCTGTTTATTGACTGTTTACTTGTGGATCTATTTGCTACCCTACCCCCAACCCCCACCCACCCAAATTGAAACTGATGGGGTTTATGGGAATTGAGTAGGATTTGGTAAGGAGGGAAAAGAGAAATCAAAGATTAGTTTTAGGCTTTTGATGTAAGTGGATGGCCAGCGGTACTCTTTACTGAGATGAGGTTTGAGGAGGAGATATGTTAGAGGAAATCAAGAGGGTTTTTTTTGGCCATGTTAAGTTTGAGTTGGCTAGTAGATATTCCAAAGGGCAGTGCCAAATAGGCAGATGGATAAAATATAGGCATACTTTGTTTTATTGTCTTCGCATTATTGTGCTTCACAGATGTTTGTTTTTCACAAATTGAAGGCAAGACCCTCCATGAGCAAAAATAATACAACTTGCTTTATTGAGATAGTCACTTTATTGTGGTGGTCTGGAACCAAACCCACAATATTTATTTCCGAGATATGCCTATCATCTGAATCTCAGTAGGAAATTAATTTCTGGAGACAGATTGGAGTTAGCACCATGTATACTTTTATTTACCGTTATGTCATAAGTCCTGAAGACTGCTCCTAGGTTTGATGACTTGCTAGGAGGACTCACAGAACTCAGTATATAGTTGTGCTCATGGCTATAAGTCATTAGAGTGAAAGGATACAAAATAAAATCGGTAAAGGGAAACGGTGTATGGGATGAAGTCCAGAGGAGACTAGGCATAAGCTTCCAAGAGTCCTTTCACAGTGGAGCAGCAATTTTCAACTGGTGTGCCACAAGAATTTTTCAAACATGTGATACCTGACTATTTAGTCAGGGATGCTGACTTCTTTTTTCCTTTGCTTGTCAAATAAAAAATAACACAGCCCTGGCTGGTTTGGCTCAGAGGTTAGAGCATCGGCTTGCAGTCCAGAGAGACCCGGGTTCGGTTTCCGCTAAGGACAAGTACTTCAGTTGCAGTTTGTCCCTGGCCCTGGTTGGTTGTGCGGGTGGCGACCACTCGATGTGTACCTTTCACGTCGATGTTTCTCTCTCTCTTCCTCCTGCTCTGTCTGAACAAAAAAAATGAAAGAATGTCCTCGGATGAGGATAAAAATAAAAAATAACACGCCAACACAGTAGCTACCAGTGTGAATAAATCAAAATTATCCCCCTCCCCCTTTTTTTTTAAGAGGAAGGGATGCGGAATTGGTTGCCTCACATATGTGCCCCGACCAGGGATCAAACCTGAAACCTAGGTATGTACTCTGACTGGGAATTGAACATGCAACCTTTTGGTAAATGGGAAAACGCTCCAACCAACTGAGCCACCCAGCCAGAGCTATACCTATTGTTTTGTCAGATATGAAAAAATGTACAATATATTTTTTTGCAGAATTTTGGTAGGTTATGTGTGCTATGAGATGAAAAAGGTTTGCAAATCACTGCAGTGGAATCACACAAGATATATATTTAATTCCTCCAGCATTGAATTATGGCAACATGTGTGAAATGTATACCTGGGAAACTCATTAGAGACTCAGTGCCCGGGTTTTTTATTGGTGTTGGCCAAAGGCATCCTCTGCCAAAATTTCAGAAGGAAAGCAGGTGTTCAGCATAAACCATGTTGTTTGCACAAACAATTTAGGCACAGTAAACCACCCTTATTAGTTAGGAAATGGCAGGAACACTCCTGAAACCCAAGTTGCAAGGGCCAACCTTGTAAGCAGGCCTTTCTAAGGGTAGCAGTCTCAGGCTTGCTATAACTCTTTTCTGCACAGTTACAGAGGAACATTTCTGCTCCAATTATAGATGAGGCGATATTGGAAGTGCTGGAGATGCTTAGAAAGAATTTTTACCCTTAGTAGGCTATACCATAGGCCTACGGTACATGGGATAAGACAGAAATTATAATAGTTGTACCAAGGAAGTGCCATTAAAACTACAAAGGAAGAAAAGGCCCCCAAGCTGGCTTGACACTTCAAATAGCAATCATGTGTGTATATACACACTTTTGACTTTTTAGATCAGTTTTACAGTGATTGAATTTATAATTAATAAGAATTAAAATACATACTAAGTTATGTTCAACATAATAAGTTATGTATGTAATTATCACCTTCCAGTTTATTCACTGATTAATGGCAATGATTTTTTGGTGTTTTTCACTTAAAGATTTCTCAATTTAGGAACAGAGTTAGTGCAAAGATAACCTCTTTTATCATAAAACTACTTTATGTAGGTGCTAAAGTTACTTCCGTTTTTTGGAGCTACATATGGCAGAACCTCATCAGTAAAAAGACTTCTTGACTTCTGTACCTGTAACTTTGAAACTTGTCCGGAAAAACCTTTATTTACTATAGTTCTCAAAGAATTAGGCTATCCTGGTTAATTACATTCACCAATTAAATTAGAGCCCCCTTTTGGATTTAGTCTTTAGTGGTGAAAGCCTATTGAAAATGTCTTCAGGTTATAACAGGTTTGACATCAGTTTCCATTGTATAATAATGTGGCTGAAGCTGTACTTAAATCAGTCTTAAAAGTCTTAATTGAGTCCCAGATATCCCCAGGGATGATAGGTGAGTGGGTGCTGTGCCTCTCCCTTTCCTTTTAACTAAATCCTAGATAAGAATTGGTTGTCCTGATTAAGTGATTTCTCTTTTAAGTGAAAGGAGAATTTTCGGAGAACAGATTTTATGTTAAAAGTACTAACCAATTAATTAAGTTCTAATTAGTTTTGATTTGGTTATGCTCATTGTAATGACTTTATTTTTCTAAACCATACATTTGATCATATCAGGGATTTCTCTTTGCCTTCAAGATAAAGGCCACATGCTTTATTCAGAAACCTCTATAATCTGATTCCACTCTATGCCTCCAAATTCTTCTGCTATTTCTACGCACTTCCCATATATTTAAGCCACCTGAATCACTCACAACTTGTCCCTCTTCACCTTGTTTTACTTTTGGGGTTCAAGTCAAAGGAGGGGAGATAGCATGAGCAAAGGCACATGCACAAGAGAGCAGGTTCTAAGTAGAAAATATATATGGTACAGTGTTGCTGGACGGTGAAGCTGCAGGCAGGGTATAAGAAGGTGAGAGGCTACTGGGTCAAGCCCTAGAGGTCAGGACCTAAGCCTGATTAGTTGTATTCCACGCACAGTATTTCATAAACCTCACTGAATGAGCAGGTGAGTGCTTAGTTGATGTCTGGCATGAAGGACCTCGATGTAGTAAGATGATTGCTTTAAGTTAACTAATTGTATGGCTTACTGAAACTTATCTAAAAAATTTTTTAAAGATTACAATTAGACAAATATTGTGCATGTTCTAGGGTAGATAACTGTGTGGGGAAAAGACAGATCCCTCCCTGCCTTTCCATTCAAATGGAAAGAGTGTAAACAACAAGTAAATTATATAGCATATCAGAAGATAAGTAATATGGAAAAGAATTAAGTAGGGGTAGGAAGTGTCATTTTAAATAGGGGCGTTAGGGGTAGGACTCACTGTAAAGGTACTGTGTGAGTAAATACACACCAGAGGAGGAGAGCAGATGAGCCATGGCACCACCGCGGGGAATGTGGTTCTAGGCAAAGTGAACTTTAAGTGTAAAGACCCTGAGGCAGGAGGGCCAGGATAGCTGTTGGAGGAAGGGAGAAGTTAAGGCCAGAGAAATAATGGGCTTTGTAAGCTTTACAAGGACTTTCTCTTTTGTTCTGAGGGAGAACAGGAAGAACCATTGGAAGTTTGGGGCAAGAGTGACATGGTCTGCCTTAACATACCAGCTAGAATTTTTATATATATTATTATATTTTTTTATCCTCACCCGAGGACATTTTTGCATTTATCTTCAGATAGAGCAGGAGGGAGAGAGGAAGAGAGAGAGAAACATCGATGTGAGAGAGACATATCGAGTGGTTCCCACCCACCCAATCCCAACCAGGGCCGGGGACAAACTGCAACCAAGGCATGTGCCCTTAGCGGGACCCAAACCCGGGACTCTCCGGTCCGCAGGCTGATGCTCTAACTGCTGAGCCAAACTGGCCATGGCTAGAATTATATTTTTTAAGCTTAATAATAGATTGTAGGACAATGGTGGAAACAGGGAGACCAGTAATGAGGCTATATTGTAATAGGCAAGAGTTGATGATGGTTTGGACCAAGTTGATATGGAAGGAAGAGATGAGAAGTAATTTGTTTCTAGATATATTTTTAAAATTGAGTGTTTTATCACAAATATCAGATAATTAGTTCATACCTTTAAGTTTTATAAACTACTAGTGGAATTTTTTTCTCACCCTCGCCTCTGACTAAAAGAAAAAGGTTTAACAACAACAGATTAATTTGTACCCTGATTTAGTAATTTAACCCACTATTCAGTGAAATTTGACACTAAGTCATAACCACTGTAGTCTGATCAGATTAGGCTGGAAGCTTACCTCACTTTGAGTGTTAACACAAGCCTGAGAAAAGTGCTGTCAGGGCTGAGGGTTGATGAAATTCTCATCTCAGTTGATTTGGGATAATTTCTTCTTGAAGCTCCTATTAAATTAAAGATACTGACTTAGTTACGAAGATGTCAGGGTATCCCTTCTTGTTTGAAGTCATTCAGTGGAAGATCATTGACATCCAGACAGCTCTCCAGACCATAAAAATTCAGTTACAGGTGGATGGTGAGGGAATTTGTTTTTCTTTCAGAAAGTCTTCCCCCACTCTTCCACTTGCTGTCTCACATTTTAGGTAAGCCACTGATTCACACTTGAGTGCTAGTTATAGTCACCTCATTGAAAAACTGTCTGTTTCAAGAGTGTAATATGTCAGGAAAAAACTGTCTCAATTACAGTACTAAAGACTATTTTATGCTCAGTGTGTTCTAAGATTACCTATTCGATACCTGTGTGAACATGGAATACAGACCTAGCCCAGAATTAAGATAATTATGAAGCGGTTAATTTCAAGTTAAGGTCAGTCTAGGCATATATGTGTATATGATTGTATTTATACATGTAGAGGTGTTGGTGTGTTAGCATTGATGAACATAAACATTTATGTTCTTTTAATCTTTTTTTCTATCCTTAAACATTTTGGTGTCCTTTAGTTTCCAGCAGAATGTCTGGCACTAGATTTCAATCTGTGTCTTAAAAAGCAAGCTGTCACAATTAATAGTATCACATTTTGATAATTCTGTCTATAAAAATCAGCCATTGGCTTTTTGTCCTATTTGTCCATCTTTCAAAGGGGGTAAAAGACACAGATTACTTTTATTGTATAATCTCTCTCATTCCCCCACAGGAAGAATGTTATTTTCTGGTCAAGGTTTGGGTATCCACTTATCACAATAATTCCTTACTCTTCCTTCTGTTATTAAATGTGTAAACCATTTAGTCAGTTGTTGATTTTTTTTTTTTAAAGTACATCTGTCCTAATTAAAAAAAAAAAAAAAAATCTTAAGCTTATATATATCTTTTCATCTTTTCTGGGCAGAGAGGCAGATGAAGGCTGTAAAAAACCTTTAGAAAGATTGCTGAACATCTGGCAAGAAAGAAGTGTGTATGGCGGCGAGTTCATACAGCAGCTGAAGCTGTCTATGGAGGACTCCAAGAGCCCTCCCCCCAAAGGTAGAAACATCACCACATGTTTACAGCTCTTGGTCTTTGCCTACTTTCGAATCAAATATGAAAAGCTGCAGTGGGGGTTGCTGTGAACCACCAGCGATTATATGATTCTTCAAAGAGATGATCATAAACGATGGTGAGAATTTATGTAGTGCTCGCAGCGTGTAAGCCTGGTTCTAGTATTCATGCTATTCATCATGTCACACCCTAACTTTGCTCTGTGTCCTCCTTGGCTCTCCTGCCTTTCAGAGACTTCTGTGCACAAGGGAAAGGAACAACAAAGTTTTTTAGAGTTGTGGAGAACTAGGAAGTACCCTGGACTAAGATTTTGTCTTAGCTCTGCCACTAATTACTTTAGGATCATGGATAAGTCCCTTAGCCCTTTCAGAACTTGATTTCATTAATTATTGATGTGGTTTTTGGACCATACTTTTGATGATTGTCAGCTTGTTGTCTAAAATTGATTTTGGTCTCTACTGAACTCAGAATATCCTTGGGGAGTGTGTACATGAATGTGAGTGAGTTTTACCAAGTCCTTAAGAGCGTATGTTATTTTCTTTAAAGATAAGTAAGAACAAACATTATTTAGTTCTTTGGCTTCTAGTTAGTTGTAGTTTAATTCTAGTTGATATGACATGTTTCTAAGCTATGGTCTGATCTGCATGCACATTTATTGCCTGGAGCATCAAATCTAAGTACTCATATATTATTTAGAATCCTTTAGAATCTGAACTAGTTTACTTTTCCAGATTCTTCTCCCATTTCCTTACATATACCATATTCTTTTGGCCACACCAAACAATTTTCCCTCTTAATGCTCTGTTGGTGCCTCTTCCTTTGCATTTGTTATTACCTCTGCCTGAAATGACCTCCTCCCCTTTCACTGTGTGGTGAACTCATTCTTCAAGAATGCTGCTCTCATCCTGACATCTTCCCTAGCTTGTCTGGTACATGTAGCCATCCCCCCATGCTCCTCTGGCACTTCGTCTGTTCCTCTGCTGTAGAATACAACCATAGTGATACATTCATTTGGCAACCCTACCTTCTGTGATCTCTTCCATGTCTGAGTTTATGTGCATTTTAAGGTAGGATAGCCTTCCTGTGAAACTAGAGGTTAGAGGCTCTCTAAGAATGATATAAGAGCTTTCAGACTGAAGGTCATTGTTGTTTTACGTGGAGTTAAAAAAAAAAAAAACAATTTCAGGGTCACTGCACAGTAGCTTCTGAAAAGCAAGATATTTCCTATCTTGGAATCTGGTGATGTTTGTATTGTGTCCTTCAGTGGTATTCTGCACAGTGTCAAGGAATTATTCAGCATTCTTTACTCTGCCTTAGAGTTCATTGGTAAATAGTGCTGATTTTTTAAAATACCTTTGGGCAAGTAGGAGAGCTCTGAAATACAGTGTTTGAAGCTAAGTGTTGAATTTTCATTCAACAAGCAGTTCCAGACATATGCTTTGAGTAAACAGCTACGCTATAGGAAAGAGAGAGGAGTGAGAAATAGTTCTGCACTTAGGGAGCAGTCAGATAAACTGGGGAATTTGTGGCGACGGTAGGTTTGAAAATAGCTCCATTGGGTTTCTCAGTTTTTTGAGCATCTAGATATTAACAAGAGAGGCAGTATTCCTTTGTGTGGAGGATAATGCTGATATAAAGATAATTTCTAGTCTATTCTATAAAGACAAAAAACATACTCAGAAGGTTCCAACATGTGTATTAGTCCCAGTTAACCACTCTGTCTTCTTTGGACCTGAGTTATCAGAATATTTTACCATAGTCCTTTCAAAATACAGATGATTCTTACAACTACTCTGAATTTGGTATTTTCACATTTCAGATGAGGGTACTGAAGGCTCACAAGGGTATAGTAATTTTGTTCAAATAGATATGTGATAATATAAAATTCAAATCCAGATCTATATGACTTCAAAGCCTGCGTTTTTTTTTTTTTTTGGTATGTGCCCCTAGTGGGAACCGAACCCAGGACTCTCTGGTCCGCAGGCCGACGCTCTAACCGCTGAGCCAAACCAGCCAGGGCAAGCCTGTGTTCTTTATACCATGCTTCCAGAGTATGAATCCCAACTTTATCATTTCTAAGCTTTGTGAATCTTGAGCACAACATTTGACCTATCTGGATTTCAGGTTCTTCACTGTACATTATGGCTATTAATGGTAATACCTTATAAGGTTGTTGTGAGTATTACTTGAGATAATGTAGGTAAGATGTTTTTAATCAAGTGATGATATGACTTATTTGTCTGCCCCTTCCTGTTCTAATATCTAATATTCTGAGTTTCTAAATATGAACTGTAGCAAAAGTAGGAGGAGACTTATTAGTATTTTTAGTTTCTCAGATTTTGTGCAAGACTAATAAACATAGTGGTTAAGAGCACAAACTCTTGGCCCAGCTTCCCTGGTTCAAATGTAGACCTGGTCACTCAGTTGCTGATGATATGGGTCAAGTGCTTTCAGAACTGTGCCTCAAATGTCAGCCCTTTGTTGCAGATCCTTTTCTTTCCATAAGTGAAGTTTAATGTGCTTTTAAAATTGTTTTTTCTTTATTTTGCAGGGAGGGAACAAAGAATGAGGAAGCTGTTGCAAATAATATTTCCTGATTCTTTTCTCATTATAAAAGAAGTATAAAATCTGTGGGTTTTTCTTTTTCCCTCCAGAAAATTTCAAGTGCATTCTTTAGAAGATCCAGCTTTACAGATACATTTTGTAATGTGATTTGGGAACCTTCAGGCTAACTTTTTGCCTTAAAATTTGTTTCATAGTCTGCCATAATGTCTGGAATTCTACTGAAATTCAGGTCTCCAAGAGGCATGCCATAAACACTTAGGTAACCAGTATCACTTGAAAGTTAGCTGAGTACAAGTTCCTCTGGAGACACTGGAATGGGTTGGAGGGTAGGCGAGGGGTGTACAATATGAAGGCAGAAGGATTTTGGTCACTTGTATTTGCCCTGCCTGTAAGTGTTTGAGTGAAAAAGGTGTGTAAATACTGTGGTCAGAAGCCAAGTTGATAGCTGGCAGGGTGTCTTATCTTAAATTTAGATACAGAAAGGGGACTGATAGATTTCCTAGGTTATTTTTAATGGCCGTCTGACTAGATTGAGAATACTGGGCATTATAACTGCTAACTTTGTCCAGATGAGTCAGGGTAGTTACCAGAACAGGCTGTCACGTTTGTGTAAAGCAGTGGTTCTCAACCTTCCTAATGCTGCGACCCTTGAATACAGTTCTTCATGTTGTGGTGACCCCCAACCATAAAATTATTTTCGTTGCTACTTCATAACTGTAATTTTGCTACTGTTATGTCTTAGGTGACCCCTGTGAAAGGGTCGTTCGACTCCCAAAGGGGTCGCGACCTATAGGTTGAGAACCGCTGGAAAGGGACGTGATGATAGTCATTTCTGGCACAGCACTAGTGTTTTCCAAGCTCTGTGCTTCCTCTGCTTTCAAGGGGTTTCACACTCGGGTCTGTTGACACTTTCCTAGGCATTATAGGGATGTAAAGGAGTAAGACAATGTTTCTATCAGAGGTAAGGCGTGCCGGTGGCCATGCAAAGCAGCAACTGGCAAGTGCTGTGGGAGTTGGAGGGAGATGACACCTGAGAGAGAAAGAGTACTCAAGAAGATATTACCATTACCATGAGTAGGCTCTGCAGTTAGGCAGTCAGCCATTCCAGGTTTATGAAGAGAGGCATGAGGAGGTGAGAGCTCAGCTCTGGGAAAGTTAGTTTAATAAGAATGTAGTCCGAGTTGGGAAAGGAGTTAGTTACTAGAGGCAGGGAGACCTGTTGGACAGTGGTCTGGACAAGGTATGGTTAAGGGGCACATTGCTGGTAAGAGGGTATGGGAAGGAGCAGAAAGAGGAGATTCGTAAGATACCCTCAGAGCTGTAGTATCTGCTCAGAAGTTGGCACTTTGTGAGGTTCTGGTGGTTCCAAGGTGTTGTACTTGGAAGAGGAGGCCAGTGAAAGTGTTCATAATGGAATAAGCAGCTCAGGAAAAGAAGAGCCCTATAGGGGAAATGACAAATAAATCATTTCCAGTAGGTCCTCCAAGTGGAGATAGGTGAGAACAGGAGAAGTAGGATAATGGTTACCTACTTGTTATTGGACCCTCTTCCGTCGGAGTGGCAAAGGACAGAAGTGGCCCTAAATTATTTTCATCATTTTGATTATAGTCTGTGTCAGTCTGCGAGTGCGTGGCAGCATGAAGTGGTAAAAGGAACTCCAGATTAGGAGGCAGATGACTTTTATTGTAGGACCCAGACTAACGAGCTCTCTGACTTCGGACAAACCATGCGTGGCTTATGGGCCTTGATATTCTCAGGAAAAATAAGATGGGAAAAGCAAAGACGAGTGTTTATCTAAGGTCTGCCAGTGCCCAAATTTAGTGATTCTCAGTGTCCTGAGGTATTTAGTGATGTGTGGTTTTACATAAAAATGTTTATACGTACTTTAAAACTGAAGGATTTGCCCTGGCTGGTTTGGCTCAGCGGTTAGAGCACCGGCCCACGGACCAGAGTATCCTGGGTTCAGTTCCCGCTAAGGGCACCTACCTCGGTTGCAGTTTGTCCCCAGCCCCGGTTGGGGTCGTGTGGGTGGCAACCAGTCCATGTGTGTCTCTCCCATTGATGTTTCTCTCCCTTTCTCTCTCTCTCTCTCTCTCTCTATCTGAAGATAAATGCAAAAGTGTCCTTGGGTGAGGATTTAAAAAAAACACCTGAAGGGTTCAAATTTTAAAATTATTCTACCTTCTTTAGTACATTTAACAATTATTTATTGAGCACTCTTCTGGGTGTTTGAAAGTGAACAAAATAATACTTTTTTTCTTTGCTCTTGTGCTTAAATTCTAAGTATAGTGGCTAAATGTCTTTGTGGGTCATACCACACACTACACATTAATTAGGCAGCTACTGTGAGCAAATTACTGCTAGATATTTCATATGCAAATTATATCCTAACAGATTTTCTGTTTTAAAAATGCAGCAGTCCTTGTGTTGCATAGTAGTGCTGACCTGAGATAGTGACCGTGTAAGCTGAAACCATGCAAAGTGATTTTAATAATAGAGAAATGTATGATTGTTCTGCTTCATTCAAGATTTTTTTATTAAATAATTAAAATCTCACTGTTGATTATAATTGTATATGGAAACAAGAAAGATAGTAAAACTATTATTTAGCATGCTATAACAAAAAATTAGAAACATTGAGAATTAAAGTGTTTATTTCTTTGTAACAAACAACAAAAGTGATTTGAACAGAGCTTGCTTGCGTGTGTAATTTATGATGCAGAGCAAGCATTTTTTTGTCTTAATGAATTATCATACTCCTTTCTCAGTTTGGATCAGCTTCCAACATTTTGTTCTTTGTATTTTCAGTGTCATGAAAATATCTGAGAGTTCCTTTAATATGAAATTTTTGCCAGCATCACTTTCCCTGGGACGTTGTCACTTTCATCACAATCACTTTCTTCATTTATGTTGATAAGTGGCCTTCATTAAGTTCCTCTGGCTTTAAATCTAGGGTCTCTAGAAGCCTGTGGCAGTGCCAGCGTTCCCACAACCAGCCGTTTCCGCTACAACTCCATCGACGGTTCCTTCAGATTGCACTTCCAGCATTAGTTTTAGTTTTAATTTCTTTGCTGCTCTTTCATCTTTGTCAGTTCCCTATTCCGATTATTCATTTTTATAAAATGTCATGTGAATTTTATCACTAGGGAACAACACAACACTCTACTATCTGTGTGTGAACTGAGTACCAGACGTGCAGTGACCAGTCACTGACCTTGAAGAAGTGATATGGTCACTGATCGTGATGCACTTCTGTTATTTACATAGTGATTTGTTGACTGAAGTTAGTAGTGAAGCTTGTTCTTTAGGCAATTAGTCATAGTTAATATGCCATAGTAACTGAAATTTGGACCGTGTTGTTGAGGAACTTGTGTTGTTTAACTAAACCATGGTAACAAATCTGTGCATACTTAAATTGTGCAAAGTGAGGACTGCCTGCATTGCAAATGTTGCTTCTTTTTTTAGTAGAACAGACAAAAACATTAAGGAAAAATAAAATTCATGATATTGGCTTGGCTTTCATATCAAACATACCTTGGCCAGTTAATGTGTAAGGTAGAAAATAGGAACTACATCCTTGATTCTAGAAGAAAATGTTCAATTAAGCAAGAAGAGTACATTCTGTTTGTAACTCACCGAGTTCTGAGGCAGGTGCATGGTGGCCCCTCATTTGACAGATGAGAGGGTAATTTGTGGTGCTAAGTAATTTGACTGCAGTGGAAAGAGTACAGATTTTGTAGTCAGACCTTTACATGAATTATTTAACCTCTCTGAGTCTTCCCTTTCTCACCTGTAAAATGGAAATATTACATCTTAGAAAGATTAAATGTAAAGAAACTATTGCAATGCCTGGCCCATGTTAGGTGTCTGATAGTTTCTTTACTTTCCAAACCTAAATTTATCATTTAGATTTATGTCCCACAGTTGTTTGGCATTTATTTTGTATTGTTCAATTTGACGCAAAATTAATGAACTTGGAATGAACACATCTATCATAACAAGTTAAAAGCACACAGTACAGATTAAAAATGTAACCTGTTAGCTTCAAAGTGGTTAATTTTAAAATGGAAACTTAAGTAATTTCTCCCAGTGATATCAATCATATTTCTCATTAATGGTTATTTTTAATTGTAAGGTAAGATTGTTTTGTTTTAAAGGGATAGTTTAAAGGATATTTGTGTTTAGAGTTTTTGACACAATTTTATTGATAGGTTTCTCTCTACTATTTATTTTCTGAGCTTATCCTAGAAAGCATAACAAATCATATTTTATTTGCAATATATTCTTTATTTTTTTAATTTATTTGTTTATTTTTTAATCCTCACCCAAGGATATTTTCTCAAATATCTTCGGATAGAGTGGGATGGGGTGAGAGAGAGAGAAACGTCGATGTTAGAGGGACACATCGATTGGTGGCCTCCCACACAACCCTGGCCAGGGCTGGGGATGAACCGCACCCGAGGTGTGTGCCCTTGGCTGGAATCGAACTAGAGTGCCCTGACCCTCTAACCGCTGAGGCAAACCAGCCAGGGCTGCAATATATTCTTTATAAATCCTTGTACAAATTAGCTTACTTTGTTAAATTGTTTGATGGGTTTCTTACCATTTTACTTTTGCTGTTGACTTTATTTTTTAAGATAATGAGGTTTTTAATGAAATGTATTATTTGGTAAGTTTTACATGATTTTAGATGTTTGTTTTCAATAGTATTTTTCCAGTGAATCAATCTGAGATGACAGACTTAAGGCCATTTTGACTCTTTTCAGTAATGTAGAACTACCACCAATTTAAAATAACTTTCATAAAGATTAATGTTAAGCTATCTCTAGAAATGACCCCTCCTGCACTTTTTTACATATGACCCATTGTGCGTAATAACATTTGACTCTTACCTTTGCAGGCTTTGGTGACTCAGGTTTGTCACTTTTTTCTTTCCTGTAGCAACAGAGGAGAAGAAATCTCTGAAGCGAACTTTTCAGCAGATCCAAGAGGAGGAGGATGACGACTACCCTGGAAGCTACTCTCCCCAAGATCCTTCTGCAGGACCCCTTTTGGTATGTCTTGGCCCCCAGAGGATAGGGTAGAGTAGCTTGGTGAAGTGACCTCTAGTTGGAGATTATGACCACAAGGTGGCGTGGGTGACCAATACTATGAAATCACCAGAAGGTAGCTCTCAGGGCACTGGGTGCAAGATCCACTCAGTGAAGCTTGCCAGACAGCAGGCTTGACTTTGTCTTTGCATGCCAGGACTTTGGCATGGATGTTTGTTTATAGTGTACTTGGACTTGGTGCTTTTTCACACCTAGAAATTGAAAATATTCTTTAAAAGTAGATTTTTGTGAAAGGATGTAGAATTTTATTCATGTTCTGCCATGGACTTTTAAATGTGGAATGATCATTTTTAGAATTTGCCTCCATCTCATTTAACTCCAACTAATATTTTTTAACCCCATGTGTTAACCAGTAGTATTGTTTATGTTTCATTGTATAGACTGAAGAACTAATCAAAGCATTGCAGGACCTGGAAAATGCCGCATCAGGGGATGCTACTGTCCGACAAAAAATTGCTTCTTTGCCCCAGGAAGTGCAAGATGTTTCTTTATTGGAAAAAATAACAGGTGAGAAGGTGGTGTTTGGGTGAAAGATGAGGGAAGAAGGACATTAATTCATCAAACCCTGCAGCATATTTATGTCTGTAGGTATAGACTCTCCATTTGGTATTGGGTGCTCTGCCATTGTGGGATTTGGAAACATAACTCACATACTAAACAGTGCAGCTGCAGGAATAGTCCAAGCTTGAATAGAGATTCTATGCATTATTGCAGAAATACTGGGGTGCCGCAACTTTTGGCCCTCTAAGTAAGGTCTCTTGGAAACAGTGCAGACTGGGGGCTTGGGGGAAGGCATTAGCTCATGACCCTCTTATTTAAAAAAAAATTATAATTCAGTGCTGTGTGACTTGTATGCTGCACGCTGACATACCCCATAGATCGTAGTGTCTTCAATGCCAAGAACTCCAGGTGTGTACTGTTAGTTGTGTCAGTTTGCTCTGTTGATGATCACCTCCAATTAAACAGGGAGGGGCAGTTGACAATATTCTTGCTCTGTGCATGGGAAATTGAAAGGAAGGAATGAAGCATGAACTAATATTTATAGAGCATGCTCTGTGCCAGATAATTCTACTCTTCATTTTAGTTGATCTTTTGAGATCACTAAATATAAATCCCCATATTACATAGGAGGAAATGGAAGCTTTGACATGTTAGGGGTCTTGCTCAAGGTCACATGAGTAGTGGCTCTTGGGTTTTCAACCTAGGCTGCAAAACCTGTATTCTTTCCATTATAAAGGCTCAGACCTATCATTTACTCTCTTCCGAAGGCCACCGGTTTTCCCTTCCAGTGCCTTGACTTAGGTGCTTCACTAATTTCCTCTGTATCAGTTTAAAGGAAATCAAGGTTGATTATGAAATATTTTCTTCATTCAACAAATATTTGAGGCACACTGTGTAGCAGATGCTCTTGGTGTTCTATCCACATCTCCTCGTGGCTTAAGTGCCAAAAAGAAAAAGAAAACAGGTGAAATGGTGGAGATAACTGAAATAGATCAGGGAAGGCCTTTCTGGTGAAGTGATCTTCGATCAGAGGCACCCCAAATTGGGAAGCAAGCCATGAGGTTATCTGAGGTGAAGATACGCTACTAGGCAGAGGAAACAGTACATGGAAAGACCTTCAGGCAGGTGTGTACTTAACTGGAGAACCACACGGAGGCCTTCTAAGTCATACAAGAGTCATTTCAACTCACTCCCTCTACTTCCGCAGCTCTAACAATGAAACCCTCCTGGATTTAACAGTCTAATGATCCTTCCACCTTTTCCCAACCTTTACTCCCCTATGTCCTCATTTTCCTCTTTACTTAGTTTAGAGTCTTTATAATTTTAAGAGCACAGTTCAGAAGGATTAAGTACCTTTACATTGTGTGCAGCCAATTACCAGAACTCTCTTTATCTTGCAAAACTGAAACTCTATACCCATTAAATAACAACTCATTTTTTTCCTCACCTCCAGCTTCTGGCAACCACCATTCATTCTTTTTTTCTTTTTTTTTTTTTTTGATGGTCAAATGATATTTAATTGAAACATTTTCCTTTCCATCATTTATTCTTAAATCCAGTGTTTCATCTCTTTCTGTCCTGGATCTACACAGTTGAATGTGGCTAAGGAAAACAAACAACACACATCAGCTGACTTTTCTTCCTCTTTCTTTGGATAACATGCTGTTTTCTAAACTAGCCCCTCTGCTTGTTTGTTAGACCTGTTCCTTCTCATCTATTCAAGGACAGTGTTCCAACAGATCTCCCCTTTTCTCTTGCATTTTCCAATTTTTTTCCTCTACTGGATCATTCTCCACAGCATAAAAACGTGTTTTTTTTTCCCCCATATGGGAAAAAAATTTTCTTGACCCATATTTTCCCCTAGCTACCACCTTATTTCTCTGTTCTTTACAGCAAAATATCTTGGATTGCCTGTGCTCATCTGTCTCCATTTCTCCTCCTCTCGTTCTCTTTTGATTCTACTTTACTGAAACTGCTCTTATCAGTGTTGGCTGGTGACCTCTCTATTGCTAAATTCAAAGGTGAATATTTTGCCCAATCTTAACTTGAGGTCATCTTAACTTGACTTCAGTAACATTTGGCCCAGTTGATCATTTCTTTTTCCTGAAAATACTTTCTCACTTAGTGTGGTAGACAGAATAATGATCCCCTCAAATTGTTCACATCCTAGACCCTAAAACCTGTGAACATATCATCATGCATGGCAAGAGGGACTTTACAGGTGTGACTAAGTTAAGGATCTTGAGATGGGGACATTGTCATGTGGGCCCAGTATAATCACAGGGTCCTTATAGAGGGAGGTAGGATGACAGGAGTCAGAGGAGGAGATAGGATTATGGCAGTAGAAGTCTGGGTGATACACTTTGAAGATGGAAAAGGGGGCCACAATAATAAATGTCAGGATAGTAATATGTTTGTGTTATTCCAAGCCACTAAGTTTGTGGTAATTTGTTACAGCAGCAGTAGCAGACTAGGAGCCTGTATTCTAGTTTTCCTCTTCCCTCTCTGGCTATGTCTTTACCATTTCCTTTGCTGGTTTTACTTCTTGATCTCTTAAAATGTTGAGTACTTAGCCCTCTTCTCCTTTTGGGTTCACTGACAGTTAAGTTCATCCAGTTTGATTAGTTTAAATAACAGGGTTTTCTTTTATTTTGGTTGGGTTTTTTGTTGTTCTTGTTGTGGAGTTTTTTAGGCTAGTGATTCCTAATTTGTATCTGTAGTGTTAACCTCTCTCTTGACCTTGAGACCCAGACATCCAACCTCCTCTTCAGTATTACTAGTTGGCTATGTCGATATATATTTCAAACTTAACCTGCCCAAACCAAACCTCTGGTCTTTCCTTCAAAACTTGTTTCTATCGCCCTGGCCGGTTTGGCTCAGCGGTTAGAGCGTTGACCTGCAGTCCAGAGAGACCGGGGTTCGGTTCCCGCTAAGGGCGCATACCTCGGTTGCAGTTTGTCCCCGGCCCTGGTTGGTTGTGCGGGTGGCAGCTACTCGATGTGTCCCTTTCACATCGAGGTTTCTCTCTCTCTCTCTCTCTCTCTCTCTCTCTCTCTCTCTCTCTCTCTCTGTTCCTCTCTCTCCCTCTCACTCTATCTGAACAAAAAGTGGAAAAATGTCCTCGGGTGAGGATAAAAAACAACAACCTGTTTCTTTCATGATCTTCCCTGTCTTAGTAAGTGGCACCCTCATTATTTCTGTTGATTGGGACCAAAACCAGTATCTGACACCTTGTCACCACCTCCACTATTACCACCATCTTCATTTGGATTAGTAGTCACTTCCTACATGGTCTCCTGCTTTCTCCTTATCCCCCAACCCCAGCCATCATTCTGTTCTGAACACAGTAATCTGAGTGATTGTTAAAATGGAAGTTGGATCATGTCTCCCTCTGCTCCCCCAGTCCCCTAAAGTAAAAACCAGTCTCAGCCCTGGCCAGTTTGGCTCAGCGGTTGAGCATTGGCCTGTGGACCAAAGAGTCCCGGGTTCGGTTCCCACTAGGGGCACGTACCACAGAAAAAAAAAATAATAATAATTAAAATAATTTAAAAAAAACAACAGTCTCAGTGGCGTTCACGGTTTGGCCCCTGTTACCACGTAGACTTACACTACTTTTCCCTTGCTGGTGCTTTGGTCATGTGGGTTTCTTGCCCGTCATTCTCCCCTTCTAGGGCCTTTATTGCTGTTTCTTCTGCTTGGAATGATCTTCCCCAAATAGTCACGTGTTCTTCCCAGACAATTCTCTAATTCCCTTCACTTATCATCTCAGTGAAGCCGACCCTGACCACCTTATTAATATTACAGTTCTTCCAATGCCTTATTCTTCTCCTCTGCCTCATTTTTCTCCAGAGATCTTATCTTCAGCTGATAAATAGGTAAAATGTAGTGTATAGTTTCTCTTTCTACCTAAGAATGTAAACTTGGGGGCAGAGAGGTTTTTGCCCTTTGTATTCCCTGCTGTCTCAGAGCCTAGAACAGTGCTGGGCACACAATAGGAGCCCAAATATTTGCTGAGGTAATTGGAAGGTTTTGAGCAGAGGATTGACAGGTATAAAAGTGTGATTGGAGTGGACTTAGTGACCATGGGAAGAGAGAAGGTGGGTACGAGGAGTATAGCCAGCTCCCTGAGGAGTGCTGTGAAGGGAGCAAGGAAATGGGGCAGTAATTGGAGACTGACGTGTGGTCCGAAGGTAGAGCAGTGTGTTTGTGTGCTGATGGTGCTTTAGGAGAGGAGGAGAGAAATCAGTGAGACATGGGGAAATGGGACATTTGCAGAAACTGAATCTTGGAGTGAGCAAGAGGGAATGAGATGATTGTGCACGAGGGGAGGGGGGGCTGGCTGAAAGGCACACAACCGTGCATCTGTGTAACAGGGAGGGCAGAGCACCTGAGGACCGCCACAGGTAAGTTCTCTGAAGTGAGCATCTTGCTGCTACATTTTGACTGCATTTTTTTCTGTAGCTTATTTTTCTGGGTTATAATTATTTGTGTGAATGAATTATCTCCCTTGTATAAGTTCTTAGAGAGTGAGAATTGGTATTTTAAAAATCTTAAATATTTGTATTTTTCTTGTTATTTTTTGCCATGAGTACTTAAACATTTTAATGAATTAACCATTAAAAGAAAAAAATATATAATTAAAGCTAAAACCAGCCTAACCACCCCAGAAGCTTATTCTCAGACTACACCATTGATGTCGAAGAATAAGTTTCACTGTCCTCTTTACCCTCTATGACTGAGGTGGCCTCTTTCCCTTGTGTTGTCTGCCTCGCTCCTCTCCTTCACCAAAAACATCTTTTTTGTTTTTCTATCACTGGAGGGGTTAGAAGTATCTGATCTTTGGTATTAGACCTAATTCGGAATCCCTCAGCTGTTCATCTTCCAATATTCATATTCAGAAGGCAACTAAAACCCAAACAGTTTGCCAGAGAAACTATGTTGGGAATCCTTAATTCCCAGTTACCTATGAAAATGCTGAGGTCTCTCACCTCTGACAACTTGTAATAGTGACAGCATATCTGTATCACTGTCTAACTCACTTTTAGTCTCAGAACTACTGGAGTCCCTGGTGCTCTTTGTTTTAAAATACCCATCTACTCTTTTGATCCTTAAAGACCTTTTTAAAATGAGATAAACATATTTAAAAGTCTAATCTCACCACCACCCATGTGTAATTAATTATATTTGTTCTTTTAAATATAAATCATCCTTTTGTCTCTTCCTCTCATTTCCTAATGTTGAACCTTTTTCATCACTTCTAAGAATACCCTTTCTTATACTTTGATACTTCAGAATAGTATTTTCCAAACAATGAGTTGGACTTGAAATCATTGAAATCAATCTGGTAGGGAATGACCAGCATTTTTTTTTCCAGTCGAATAAAAGAGAGAACATTTTACACATAGTAAGGATAAGTATTGTTTTATGAAACTTTTGTTTCTTTTATTTTTATATGTTTACATAAAGTATATTTTTTACGGTAGGTCATGTTCAGAAGCATTTGAAAGCCTCTGTTTTATCAGAACTGATATTTGGCTGGATGGAAGAAGAGAGCTCATACCCAGTTTCAAGACTTGCATAGTTTAAGAGGTAGAGTCCGATAGGTCCATTTTAGAGACCTGATTTTGAGTCCCAACTCCTTAGCTAACCTGATATCGAACCTCTTGTGTAGTGTTTGTTTTTTTCTTACAGTTTCCACATCCAAAAATGAGTGCTAGCTTTTGTATTTCATATAGTGCTTTACAGTGCTTGTATTTTGTATTTCAGAGGATTGTTCAAAGAATACTTAACAAAATAGTATAAATGAAAGTCCTTTTGAAATTCTCTGAGGCATAGAAAAATTATTTCATGTATGACATTAAATATTTCTTTGTTTGTTTTATTTGTAGAGCTTTTGTAGGAATAGGCACTTAGAAATGTTTGTCAGATTCCCCTCCTTGTACAATTGTCTCACTTCGAGTAATTTAGAAATGCCCTGTTTTATTGATAGGAGGGGTGCCTTTGGGTTTCTCTGTCAGCCAGTCCAGTTTTTGTCCACAGGTTCTGGCTTATTCTTGGACTCTGTACTTTTGGAGAGAAACTGTTCACCTCCCCCAGAAATGTTTGCAATGGTGCCTATGTGATTTGTATATTGTCTCTATTTTTTGGTCTTATTTGTACTTAGACAAAGAGGCAGCTGAACGTCTTTCAAAAACAGTAGATGAAGCATGTCTGTTACTAGCAGAATATAACGGGCGCCTGGCGGCAGAACTGGAAGACCGACGCCAGCTGGCTCGGATGTTGGTGGAGTACACCCAGAACCAGAAAGATGTTTTGTCAGAAAAGGAGAAAAAACTAGAAGTGAGTACATTGCAAGGCAGACCTAGATTTCCCAAGTTTTCTTTCCTATAACTCACGTTAGGAGGTTTTTATTATGCCTTCATCAGCACTTTTATTTTTGTCCTTTTGTCTTGTAAAAATGCATGACATGAGAACATCATTTTGATATTGCAATTATTTGAACCTAATTGAAAATTGAAGTTGCTTTTATATATCTAAGAAAGAACAAACTGAAACACACGATGAACTCTTTAATCACAGCATTTAGGATGTTAACGTTTAGTTTGAACTCACACTTATAAACAAATTGTAAATTGAGGTACAAAAAGAACAGGAGTCAGCAAAATCAAAGACTGTTTATTTGGTGGTATTTGGGAAATGTGTAAAATTTTTCTTTCTTTTGGATTATATTGGGATTTATTTCTGACTTGTATCATGCTAAAGCCAATAAGTAGTCTGCCTCTAAGCCCTGTCTGCAGTCAGTTCTGTAATTTTAGTCATGTTTTGAAGCCCGGTTTTCAAACGTGAGAAAGAACTTATTTTTACCCTGAGTTGACATTAATGTGAATGCCTTTTGGTGGGGCTTAAGAACTAGGTTCCTCACCATGAATTTGTTTGGCTTCTTAATAAAGTACATGTTGATATAACATTGGTGCTTAGTCCCTTGGGATAACACAGCCACCAGTGTGGACATTTGGGAACTTTTGCTTGCCCCAGGCTACTAGGCTTCCTTTTCAGAAGTGTCTGGCTCTCTTTTTTTTTAAAAGAGGCATGGAGAAGAGTTGCAACCAGTGATTTGGGACAGGAGGACAGTTTTGAGTTGGAGAACCAATCACATATTACAAGAAATACTAGAGTAGATAAGGGAAAGAGGGCATAGTCCCCCTGCCCCACCCTACTCTCAGGAAACACTATTTTCTGGTACCAAGGGAGGGAAAATTGAGCTAGTTCTTTGGCTGAGATTGTGTTTGCTTTGAACACAGTCATCTGACTTGAGGGAGGAAACGAATGATGGGCATTTTTTGTCGTATCCTTACCTGTAGTGATTATGGGAGTGATGATGGGTAGTGGTATTGGGAACTTCATATTTCTAGCCAGCTTGAAAGTGGAAGATGGGAAACAGCTGTAAAAATAGTATGGCTTGGATTTAGAAATCGACACTGACCAAAAATCCTAAAGGGAACTTCACAGGCAGTACCAGACGGTCATTTATCTGAAATGCTCGTCTTTCACTGAGAAAGCATTTTCAGCACTGTGCCCCGGGACTAATAAGAGAGTGTAATTAATGATTCTGGTTGTAAGTCACCATGCCATCTGTTGAACTGCCCCTTGGCGACACATTAAGGGCTTTCTCTGATCTGTCAGACATTGATTATCATGAGCAGCTGTTGTTGGGTGGCAAGCAACCATAGAGGACAGTCTTTGAGAAAGATATTGGGTTGGTAGAGTGGATTAACTCTTTGTTCATTTCCCTTTCTCACAATTGCACCTTTCTCTCTATATTGGGGGATCATTCATTCTGGTGTCCATAGAACCAATGGTTTCCTAGATGCCATGAGAGGTCATTAAGGCAGAGTGATGATTAGAGATTTGGGTCTATTCTGTAGCTTTCCAGCCCAAATTTCTCTACTTATATGGGTATTAGAATTCTATTGCTTGAGAATCAGAGCAGGGACTCACCACTGGAAAGTACAGATTGTGAACTAAAGATTTTTTTCCCAAACCATGCCTCTCAGCCATTTGAGCAAAATCATTTTTTGTAACAATGGAGCTAAATTTGCTGCATTTAAAATAGCAAATGACTAGGTACAACGTTAAAATGTTGAGAGAGGTTTTAGTTCTTTCTTTATGCTTGCTAAAAATGTGAATAGTCTGTTCTCTAGAATCTAAGATTTTTCTCTCATATCCTATAATAGACGGATCCTATTTCATTATCTCCTCCTGGTGCTGGTAAAACTTGTAATATGTGCTGCTTGAAAAATGCATTACTACTATGAATTCTTCCTCAAGTCTCTTATTGTTGAGAACAGTACATAAAGCATATCTATCTTTTTAATATTAATTTTTTTTTAGACTGCCCATCCTTGTTGTAAAACTGTCATATCACAATGCTAATGAAATCTGCTTTTATGTTTTAATCTTTTCATTGCCTTTAGTGTATAAATACCTGGAATTCTTAGAACTTTGGAAATGTAATTATTTGTTTGAGAGTCTGTCTTCTTCCCAAAGTTCTAATTTCTTAACTTATTTTTTTTTCTTTTTTCCTTTAAGTTTATAAATACTTGTTTTGTGAATGGAATTCAGCACTTGATATAATCTTTTTCTGTGTAGAAGAGGGTTTCTTTCAAGTTGCTTGAAAAGTGGTCTATGAGCAGATATTTCTTAATTGAGAAATTTACAGAACATTAAAAGTAACGATTTTTATAGTCCAAAACATTGCACATTACACCAAAAGAAAATCCCATACCCATTAACCAGTTACACCCTGTGCCCCCCTCTTCCTAGCCCCAGGCAACCACCAGTTTCCTTTCTGTCTATATGGATTTACCTATGCTGGATACTTCATACAGTGTGTTTGATTTCTTTCACTTACCGTAATGTTTTTGAGATTCATCTACATTTTAGTATTTATCAATACTTCATTTTTTTTTATGGCTAAATTGTTCATGGTTTGGATATTCAACAGTTTGTCCATTCATCTGTTTTATATTTGGGTTGTTTCCACCTTTTGGTCATTATGAATAATGCTACTATAAACACTTGTGTGTAAGTTTTTATTTCTCTTGGGTATATGTATGCCCAGGAATAGAGTTGTAGTCACATGGTATTCTGTTTTCAACTATTTGAGGAACCACCAAACTGTTTCCCACAGCAGATGCACTATTTTACATTCCCACTAGCAATCATATGGGAGTTCCAGTTTCTCCACATCCTCATCAATGTCTGTTACTGTTATTTTTTAAAATCCTAGCCATCCTAGCACACATGAAGTGGTAACTCATTGTGATTTTGATTCATTTTCCTAGTGCGTAATGACTGGTTAATGTGCTTTTGGCAGTTTGTATATGTTTTTTGAGAAATGTCTATTCAAGTCCTTTGCCCATTTTTGAATTGGGTTGTTTATTTTATTGTTGAATTGCAAGAGTTCTTTATACACTCATCAGCTATATGATTTGCAAATATTTTCTCCCATTTTGTCTCTTAATCGCTTTCTTATTAATGCCCTTTAAAGGACATAAGTTTTTAATTTTGATGATTTCTATTATCTTTTGTTGTTGCTGCTTGTGTTTTGGTGTCACGTTTTAAGAATCCATTGCCAAATCCCAGAACATGAAGATTTACTCATATATTTTCTTCTGGTAGTTTTATAATTTTAGCTTTTTTACATTTAGGTCACTGGTACATTTTGAGTTAATTTTTGTATATGGTGTGAAGTAGGGAACAACTTTATTATTTGCATGTAGATATCCAGTTGTCCCAGCACCGTATGTTGAAGAAAGTGTTCTTTCCCTCGTTGAAAGAATGCTTAGCACTTTTGTCAAAACTCAGTTGGCCAGAGGTATCTGGGTTTATTGAATTCTCCATTCTATTTCAAAACTCAACTGGCCAGAGATATATGTGTTTATTTCTGGACTCTCCATTCTGTTCCACTAATCTATATGTCTATCCTATTGCTAGTGTCACACTATTTTAATCACTATAACTTCATATTAGGATTAGAACATATGAGTCCTCAGACATTGTTCTTCTCTCCCAATGTTATTTTGGCTATCAAGGGCCTCTTGCAATTCCACATGAATTTGCTTTCTGCTCTTTCATTTCTGAAAAAATGGCTGTTGGAATTTTAATAGGGATTGCATTGAAACTGTAGATTGCTTTGGAGACTCTCACCAGCTTCACAATCTTAAGTCTTCCAATCCACTAACATGAGATTTCTTTTAGATCTTCTTTAATTTCTGCTACAGCATTTTTAAAAGGCATGCTAGGGTACCACTTACTGATGCATTTGATATTACAAAAGTCCTGTATAGGTACCATAGGTATCGGAGACCACTGTGGAAGGCACTAGTGCATGTTGCCTTCCAGTAGACTCTGTTTACCCCACCTCTAGAAGGTAATGAGTACATATGTGTGTGTGCTCAACAAACTTACTAGGGCACAGTATTGAGAGCCAAATTCACTCTGCAAAGTAAAGTGGCACATAGAGGCCTGGATATCTAGGTGAAGACTTACAGGACTATTGAACTGGATGGAACTAGAGATCATGTAGTCTGACCTCTGAATTGATGAAGAAAAACTCAAGACCCAGAGAAGGGAGTTAGCTACAGACCAGGAATAGACTCTAAGGCTGCCATCAGGTTTGTGTTCTTGTTTTGTTTCTTCTAAATTGATTTCATAAGGTCAGCAGCCAGAAGACATCCTACACAAAAGAGTAGCCAAAGTTGAATCATTTCAACAATTCTCAAGAACCTTGTTTTAGAGAAATGACATTTTATGTAGGGGGATTAAAGTGGTTGTATCATTGCATTTTAGAGTAGCCTTCAACATCTAAAGCTTGAGAATACCCACTCTGCTACCAAGGCTCTAAATCTAAATACCCAGTCCCCTCTGTGACTTTACATGTTCTTGCTCTGAGGTGTGTGTGTGGAGGGGGTGGTTGGCTCATTGAACTTGAAACTGATGCTATTTGCTCCAGTTTGGCACCTCCCCCTTGGCTGTAATGAATACTCAGGAGTAGAGCCTTCTACTTCAGACAACACAGCTGGGAAAGAGGAAATGGCCCAAATGCCTTGTGATTCTTCATATTTCTGTTTGTAATTTGGTTATAACAACTTGAGAAATTCTTTGGCTATAGCTGCGGGAGCACTAAACCAAACTGATGGCCATCTGTTGTTTTTGGCAGCATCTCTCACCTTCCTGCAGGGTACAGATGGTTAGAAGCCTTTATTTCAATAATGGGATAGGCAATAGGTGGAGACAGAGAGTCAACTTTGGAGTAAATTTTCCCCATTTCCCATGAT